CAAGAAAGAAAAGCTTGTAGTTAGTTCCAGGATCGCTGGCCTTTAGGAGTGTTTTCCGGTCCAGTCTGTTGGGGCACCACGCCCTGACTTTTTCGAACTTCTTGAGCTGAAACACTGAATGAAGCATTTGTCCTTGTCAGTAAATTCAGATGGATGCATTTTTATGTTCTCACCGGAAGTAGCCACGCCCTCACACTCCCCAGGCCTTGGTTTGTACATCCTCCAGACGCGCTTTTGGCGTGCAACATGCTTCCTTCTTGATCACACTTCGTTCTTCGCCTCTAAGGGCTTGGTGGGATTCGGCCTACCTGTAGCTCAAGCAGTAAGGATGGGCTGTGGAAATGAGTCCGGGGGACATTCATTATTACTTTATAGGTCAAAAGTAAGGTGGCCAGACGTCCTGCTTTTGGCAGGACAGTCCCGTTTTTTGGCATTTTAAAAAAGCCCCGATTTTTGTAAAGAATCCATGACAAGCTAGGGAACAGTCTAATTGGTCCATATAGGCCAAATTTTTAATCAAGAACACCCCCCCCCACCCCCGTACGGTCAATGGTGTCCCGCTTTAAATCTGGTCACACTAGGCAAGAGTCATACACAGTACCCAAAGTAACATCTCAGATTAAGACTTTTCAGGCCCTGCTGGGTTAATCTCATCAAATGGGAATGGAAGGGATCCTGGTTTTAATGAGGTTTGTCAGCTCACAATGGAGCTTCAAAGCATGGGTAGAATGCTGGTTCTGTGAGCAGTAGAGAGGTTTCAGGATAGTCCTTCCAATCATTTGCCCTCCTTTTAACCTCAGACATCATTTGAAGTTGGGGATTCAATTGGTGTAATTTTGATGCTCCTTGGTTTTGGGCAATATCCACTGCTAGAGAAGAAATACAGCTTTCTTTCAGGGCACAAGTGGCAACTTTTGGTTTTGTATGCAGCACTTGATCTGCGCATGTGACGCTCTGAGCTCATCTTTTCCTTTCACCACTTTGTCTAGGGGAAGTAGAGCCAACCAACCAGCTGCCTCTCATTTCTCATTCTGACAAAATTATAGAAACATATCAAACACCCAATTGTTAGAAGGTGATGGAGGACAGTGGGAGCCCCCAAACCCATCAGCCTCAAAACCAGTCAGACTGAGCTGCTGGCAGATCTGCCCTAGCCACAGGCAAGAGTCTCCAACAGCCTTGCTGTCAGGGAGCGACCATGGTCATCTTGACTCTGCTGACCCCAGCTTGATACTTGGCTAGATGACCTCCCGGTAGGCCCGACCCGAGTTGGTTCTGGGTGCAAGTATCTCTTACTTGTTCCATGACAGAAATGTCTTCCCTTGCTTCTGGAATGTTGAGGAGTATCTTTTCTTTCTTACTCATTATTATTTGTTTTTGGTCTTTATATTTTTATTATTTTATCCTTACCAACTTATTTTGATCTTGGTTTTTGTTTCTGTTGGGTTTCCAGTTTGTGGCCACAGGAGGAGTGTATGTAGTGAGAATCACTGCTACAGGGGCTGATGGAGGATGCAGGGGTGGGAGTGGGTGATACATGGGGAAGGGGATTTCAGGAGTGGGAAATGAAGGCAGGAAGTGGGAGAGAGCACTAGAATCAACTGTGAGTGCACAACTCGTTTTAAAGACAATTGAACTATAGTGGGGGGTGTTCTAAAATTGATATCGTAGTGATTGTACAATTCTTGATATGACAGAACGATTGAATTGTATGATATGTAAATTATGTGCCAATAAAAGTATTTAAAAAGAGAAAAGTACACATTCACCCAGCGCCTTTGCTCTCACAAACAGTTCACCTGTGGGTGATATTTTGGGTGTTCCTATTGCCACTTCCCACTTAGCAGTGTATGCTTTCCTCCTGGGAGAGTCACCATGCCTTCACGCCAGCCAGACTTGGGCACCAGTTCAGAAAACTCATCTCTAATCTTTATTTCCTCTAGAACCACACCCATTACCAAATGTCTTAGGCTGGATTCTCTAGGGGAGCAAAACTAGTGTGTGTGTGCGTGCGTGCGTGTGTGTGTGTGTGTGTGTGTGTGTGTGTGTGTGA